ACAGCACGTCTGTGACCACGTTGTGCACCTGGGGGGCCGAGCAGGTGATGGTGACGAGGAGGGACAGCTGATGGGCCTGGAGAAGGCCGGGTGGGCCGGGGGGCAGAGCACCTGGCTGAGCACCAATGCGCCCAACAGCTCAGGGACAGGGCTGTTAGGAGGTGACAGTTTCACYAGTGCCAGGCTTTGCACCAGCRTGACCCTGACCCCRACCTGCGAGACCCACCTCCTGCTTCACAGATGTACAACTGGGAGTCCCAGGTGGAAGGGATGGGTCCAGGGTGGGCCCTGAGTTGGGGGCAGTGCAGGGCCACACACCCAGGCTGGGGACGCTGGGGCTCGCGTGCTGCACTTCTGGGGCCACTTGGGACCCTGGAGCAGGGTAGGTGCACACTGATCTGCAGACAGACAGACGCACCCTGGCACTCAGAGGCACAGCCGACAGAGGGCAGAGGCGGAGCACAGTGGCCTGGATTCCCCAGTGTCCCCTTCCATTGGGGGAGTGACTGGCTCATTGTCACAGCCGCTCTGTTYTCCTCACTGCCTGCCAAGACTGCTGCTGAACACGCACACGGTGTCTGGCACACAGTAGGTGCGCGCCAGGCACACAGTAGGTGCACAGGGACAGGGAACGGCCTGGAACGCATGCGTGAGCGGAGGCGCTCACTGTGGTGGCCCCGCCCCCGCAGGAAGAAGCCCCGGGACTACACGGTCAAGGTGCACATGAACTTGCTGCTGGCCGTCTTCCTGCTGGACGTGAGCTTCCTGCTCAGCGAGCCCGTGGCGCTGACGGGCTCCGAGGCCGGCTGCCGGGCCAGCGCCATCTTCCTGCACTTCTCCCTCCTCGCCTGCCTCTCCTGGATGGGCCTCGAGGGCTACAACCTGTACCGCCTGGTGGTCGAGGTCTTCGGCACCTACGTCCCTGGCTACATGCTCAAGATGAGTGTCGTGGGCTGGGGTAAGTGGGGGGCATTGGCCCCAGAACCCTTGCTCCCACTGTCTTYGGGCAGAACACAGGTAGCTGATTCAGCTTCTCCACCTTTCTCCCTGACTTTCCTTACTGCTTCATTCCCCTGCCCCTCCGCAGGGGTCCTTCACCTGGTCTAGAACAAGGTCCCCTTTAGGAAGATAAAGTGGTGAGTCCTGTCCCCAAGAAACACTTCCCAATTCTCCACACCACTCACTCCAATCAAAAGGGAATTTGCAGCCAGGGCCACCAGTATGGATGGACAGGTTGCACACTGCTCAAGGGCAGCCAGCCAGGAGATGAGTGGACTGAAGCCAGGTCCTGTGCCRCTCACCTAATCCATTCAGGCCACAGTGGCCTTGCCTATGGGTCCCCCTGAACCTCAGGTAACAGATCCTCTGTGGCTTTGGAATTTTGTTCTTGACCAGAGCTCATTTCACCCATGGCTCAGACCAGTCATGTCAGATTCAGAGCCCAGGGACTTATGCCATTGCATGGTCCCTAACCCCACCTTGCTGCTCCTCCTGGTCCTTATGGACCACCTCTTCATTCACTGTCTCCAGTAACATGAAGTCCTTGAGGTGGTTCTGTGTTAAGACCCAGGTGTGCAGAGGTCGGGGAGTGGACAAGGTCAAGGCCAGTGCAGATATTGCTGGGCCCGAGTTCTTGCTGCCCCTCGGAACCACCGGCCTCCACCCCCTACTGTCCTGTCATTCTCCCCCTCCCCTGCACCATTAGACCTTGGCACACAGCTGTGTCCCTCCTCCCAGGGACCTCAGATGGGGCTGGGCAGGCTCTGGGAGCAAAGGCCGAGGAGGGGTCTCACTCCMAGACCCTCTGGAGGGCAGGGGAGGTGGCCTCAGCAGGTGGAGATGCAGCCCCAGGCCTTGCCACCCTCAGGCTTCCCCATCTTCCTGGTGACGTTGGTGGCACTGGTGGACGTGAACAACTACGGCCCTATCATCCTGGCTGTGCACAGGACCCCAGTGAGCGTCATCTACCCTTCCATGTGAGTGGCCTGCTGGTGGGGCAGGAAGGTGGACCCTGGCTGCAGGGACAGAGAGCAGGAGACCCTGGGTTCCCGTGACTGGAGGGATTGGCTGAGTGGTGGCCGGAGCACTGGGCTAAGGATCATGGAGGGAGATAAAAGGTCTAGATCTGCTACTAATTTACCAGGTGACCATTCGACGGTCCCTGCCCTTCTGTGAGCCTCAGCCGCCTCATCCGTGGAGGGGRTGGGGCTGGGCAGAGGGGCCCCCACTGGCTGCTGGGCAGGGCTGCTGTGCCTTCCCACACAGACAGAGGTCCAGAGAGGTACGCCCCACACGGAGCCAGTGCCCTGCTCAAAGGCTCCCAGCTGGAGATGAGCGGGGCTGATCTCGTCCCCCTCCACTCACCTGGTGGCCTTGCCCGAGGACAGCCTGACCCTAGGTTGGAAGTGAGAGCTCCTGAGCTCCAGGCCGGGAAGGAAGTATCCCCTGGCTCCGTGTTTTTGACATGATCAGCCCTTTACACCATGGCCTGTGGCTCCTGCCTCCCCCTTTTACCATCCGTATCAGGACTGGCTTAATATTTTTCTTTAAATCGTCTAACTTGGCAACTTCAGTGTGTTTAAAAAATCACACCAACGCTGTAAATAGAAAATAAGCAGCACGTGCCCTAACAGTGAGTAAACGTGGAAACAAATCTGGTAACAAGCGTGGTGGCTGGTCCAGCCAGCTGGGCACTGAGCCCCGTGCCCTTGCCACAGGTGCTGGATCCGGGACTCCCTGGTCAGCTACGTCACCAACCTCGGCCTCTTCAGCCTGGTGTTTCTGTTCAACATGGCCATGCTGGGCACCATGGTGGTGCAGATCCTGCGGCTGCGCCCACACAATCAAAAGTGGCCCCACGTGCTGACGCTGCTGGGCCTCAGCCTGGTCCTCGGCCTGCCCTGGGCCTTGGTCTTCTTCTCCTTTGCCTCTGGCACCTTCCAGCTCGTCATCCTCTACCTCTTCAGCATCGTCACCTCCTTCCAAGGTAGGTCTGGGGAGGATCTGGTCCCCCCCAAGGCGGCTTGTCCACACCGGGAGTGTAGGTGAGGGAAGGGAGGCCCCAGGGCAAGCTAAAGGCTCTCCTCTGGGCCTCAGTCTCCCATCCGGGCCACAGTGGACCAGGCTGTATTGGGCACCTCTCATGCGTAGGCCCTGTGCTGAGACCCGGCCACTGTGGTGAGCCGGCTGGAGGAGGGCCTTGCTTACACGGGGCTTCCTGCTGGTGGGGAGGCTGAGCATGAGCCAGAGAACAGGCAGCCCCCCACCACCCCTGAGAGTAGAGAGTCAGGCAATGTCATGGACAGCGGCCAGGCTGGGGTGGGGATGCTTTAGGAAGGGTGGCCTGGGAGGACATTTGAGGACAATAGAGGTCCAGCCATGGAGAGATCTAGAGTGTGCAGCACAGACAAGCAACAGCACGTCTCAGGGGTCTCAGAGTGTGTGTGTGTGTGTGTGTGTGTGTGTGTGTGCAGAATGCGGCCTACCCAGCGCTGGTGGTCACATCTGCATTTAACAAGATGCTCAGGGGATTCGCGTGTACATAGAGGTTGAGGAGCCCTGGCCTGGGAAGGAGAGCTCTGGGCCGAGGGAGAGGCAGGAACAAAGGTTCTGAGGTTGGAAGGAGGCTCTGCATTTGGAACAGTGAGGGGGCGTGGCTGAAGGTGGCTAGTTAGGGCGTGGCTAGTGAGGGCGTGGCTAGTGAGGGTGTGGCTAGTGAGGGTGTGGCTGAAGGTGGCTGGTGAGGGTGTGGCTAGTGAGGGTGTGGCTGAAGGTGGCTGGTGAGGGTGTGGCTA